TCAAGCTGGGATGGACGTGAACCCCTTTAACCTGTTGTTTGGGGTTGCTCCACAGTGTGCAAGACCTTGCTCTGAGCTGAGGATGCTTTCGCTTCACTCGTGCCCATCGGAGCCAATTTAATCTGCTGGTGGTAAACATCCCCCTCGGCCCATCTTCAGGAGGAAGCAACTGTAATCTGCTTAGGAGCTTCCAGGGAAATCAGTGTTTTCGTGGCTTAGTCAGGGAACAGTCCCATCACTGGCAGGGACTGATCAAAGGTGCTTTGGGTTTGAAGTTTCCCATTCTCTCTGTCTGTCCTAAACCTTCCCGTGCTCTCATATCCTAAAAAAAAGAGAGCTAGGAAAGGGAGAATGCTCAGCAGAGTGTGGAAAAGCAGGGAAATGAGGTTTATCCATAAAACTATCAGTGTTGGGAGGTCAGTCGTCCTCAGCCAGGGATGGAGGGTCAGGAATTGGAGCAGCTGGAGAAAGTACCTTGAAATCCCCCCTTTTTCACTGTTTTTTCCATCAGGTTAAACACTTTCAAGTGTCAGTTGTGATGCTCAAAATCCTATTTGGTAACAATTGTCTCTGTATGGAGATTAAAAAACAATGCCCAAGAAGCTGTTTGGCTCATCCCCTGCCAACCTGAGCCTGCAGCCATAAATCCAGTGGGAATCCTGATACCACCGCTGTCCTTCACGGCTTGTTTTCCGATCCTGGTTTGCTAATTCAGGAAGCAAGTAGAAAAATAACAGAGGAAAAACTAGAAAACACTAAGAAAAACAAATACTTGCTTCTCAGGAGTTAAAAAGCCGAAACAGTTTGTTCCCGAGTCCCAAAATAGTTGTTAACACCTAAATTTCATCTGAAGCAACTTGAAATTTTTTGAGCCAGGAACCCAAAAATTTATTGCAACATTTGTTTTGAATTAAAAAAAAAAAAAAAAAAAAAAAAAAAAAAAAAAAAAAAAAAAAAAAAAAAAAAAAAAAAAAAAAAAAAAAAAAAAAAAAAAAAAAAAAAAAAAAAAAAAAAAAAAAAAAAAAAAAAAAAAAAAAGGAGGCTTGGAGTAGGATTAGGCAGTGAAAAGTCTGGAGCAGCTCTTATCATAAGGACATCCTCCAGCATTTCCTTCCAAGGAACTTCCTGCCTCGATAACCACGACTTCTCCTTCAGAACAGGCTGATTTTCCTGACTCCTTTGGAAACAACAGGGGAAAACAAGAATTTATTTGGTCAGGGGTGTTTTTTTCCCCCCTTATTCTTATTTGATTTTACTTTAGTTATTAGAGAAGGTATAATTTGATTATTACTTGGAAAGCTGCCAGGGTTTGGAATTTGTTTAAGGGTGTGGAATTCTGCATCTCTGCTTTAATTCCTTGTGAATAATAACTTTATTTTACGCATAGAACAGTTTTTAACCTGGTATTTCACCTGTCTGTGTGTTCTGGAAAAGGACTCAATACCCTTCTGTGCTTCCCACCACGTCAGGGTATGTAATAGCTGATTTTTGGACAATAGTTTGGGGTGGGTTTTTTTTCCCCTCTTTCTAATTTAATTAAAATTGATAAAACCCTAAAAGTACCCATTCAGGTGAGCCACAGTCTCAGGAGCTTGAAAAATCTTTTGTGAAAGGTTTATTAGGAACAGGATATTTCCAGTGCCGTGCTAATGAAATGGTTGCTTGGTTGTGTTTTGATAAGCACTTAATTAGACACTTGATCAGCCATGTCCCACCCCCCTGCCCCTCTGCTAAAATAAAAGGGCTGGGGCAGCCACTTATTTATGAATTTATTTAATTGCCTGGACAAAGGCATTGAATAAAACTGATCAGACTTTGAGGTTTGGAGCCCGGACTTGGGCCTGCGACCTCCAAAAGTCTCCTCCAACCAACGCTGCTGTTTGTTTTCCTGGAACAGCTCTCAAGGCCCTGTGTCCACAGGAACATTGCACAACGGGGCAGGAGTTATTGTCTCCGAATTCCTTCTGCTCACACACCATGGCCATCTCAGACTGCCGAGAAACCCCGGGAATGGCTCTGCAGGGGTGAAGCCTGACCAGTTCAGAGCGTTGTGCTCACAGCCAGCCCGGATTTCCTGGAATTTCCTGGAGCTGAAGCCTTGATTTGCTCGCCCGAACGTGTCACCTGTGCCACTGTGAGGTCCCCCAGACCTGTTGCTGCCTTCATTTCGTTATATTTTTGAGCTGAGAAGAGGTTTCTGTGCCTCCCTGTGTGTCACCTGTTGAGGTGTCCCCTGTGTGTGACAGCTGGTAAAATCATGGTGGTGTGTGACATCCTCCCTCTCCTTTGCTCCATCCTTGTTCCTGTGTGGGTTTTATTCAGCCCATCTGCAGAACTCATCAGGCTGCAGATGCTGCTGGAATGAGTGGGGGTGAAAGATTACTCGGTGTGGAGTCAAAGCACAGGAAATCTGCCAGAAGACCTCGAGCGTGGCGGGGGTTAGGCCAGGCCTGAGCCCCCCCAGATCCTGCCCCTGCCCCCTCCTCAGGGCCTGGCGAGGGGTGCCTGCCCTCCTGGAGCGCAGAGGGAGTTTGTTTGGCCACACTGAGTGTAGCTGCTGGGTGAGATTCCCACGTGCCACTTTCTAAACTCCTCCTGCCTGCTGTGCCACTGCTGACTGCACCCCCTCCTTCCCAGGAGCTGCAGGGCCCGGGGCTCTGTGATCACACATGAGGCTGGTTGTGGCTGTGGCACAGATGCTCGAGGAGAAGTCACCGGAAAAGATCCCTATCTCGTGTCCTGGCTGTGCTGCGAGCTCTGAGGCTTTGTGAAGTCAGGGCCTCGGAGCTGCAGCAGCCTGGGAGGGAGCTGCAGCAGCAGGGGGAAGGCTCAGCTTTGCAGCCAAACTCCGTCAGCTCCTCGGTGAACTTCAAGGGTCATCCGTAGGCGTCAGAGAAGATCTCAAGACAATAATAGTGCTCTATTTTAGCATACTCATTACAAAGTATAACTGCCCTCTGCCTCTAGCAACTATTTTTTCCTCTGCTCAGATGGTGCAGGAGGGGCAAGGCCGTTGTCACGAGCAGCAGTGCTGCCTCTCTGCCTCGTCCCCTCGTTGGCTTTTCAGCTTAGGCCTTCTTCTCCTCTCTCCACGAAAATAACCTTCAGCAGGAAGATGGCTTGCAGTGATGTGTTTGTAATTATTGGTGCATTCATCTGGAAGAAAAAGCAGTCGGGTTTGTGCTGACAGGGAGCTGTGCGAGGAGGTTGGGGCCTTTTCACGGAATTTGAAAGAAGCTGAAATGCTGTTTGCGTCGTTAACGTGGGGTACAGAGGGTTCCTGTCCTCATCCTGATTTCTTTATTTTCTAACTAGTGGGTCTTTAGCATCTCTGCAGAGTGTTGGGTGGGGTTTTTTTGGTGTATGTTTGAAAAAAAAAGGACAAGAGGATCTTCTGAGTTGTGTCAGTGTAGGAGGGGTTTGAGTGCATGGCCATGGTGTGGATCCCCCTCTCCAGGGCAGCTGAAGATGTTCTGTAAAACATCTCAAGCTCAAGGAGCTCGAGCCCCTTCTCATGCCTGTGGTTTCAAGGTAAAGGCTCAGGAGAAGCAGCAGCTGCCTCCTCCTGCCCCGGGTGCTGGAGGAGGAGGAGGAGAAACCTTTGCAACGTGTTCGTTGGTTCTCAAACAAAGAGAAGTGCTCAGCTCACCTCTACTGGTTTTCATTTTACATCTTGTGTGATTATTTTATTTTTTATATTCTGCTTTTTCCTGAAGAAACAGGGGCTCTTTGATGTGTTCTTATGCTGCATCAAAGCAGCTTTTGTACTGAAGGTAAATGAATTGTCTTGGTTCACAATACAAGGGTGTCTCTCATACACACATTACACTTTCCCAGCTCTCCAGCTGCTCCTGAAGATCCACCTGTGATCCCATTGCTTTGACCACCATGGGGGGTTGTTTTCTGGCCTTCCCTTTGTGTAAAATCTTCGGAAAACTCTGTGTTCCCTGTTCCATTGAGGTACCCATGAGGTTCCACTGAGGGATCATTTCCTCTACATATACACAGTAAATATTATGTGCAATATAACCCATCCATGAACAATTCTAAAGTGCTCTCTGCTCCTGGTCTATAACACCAAGGTCTCAGTAAGATTTTTCCACCCTGTTAATGTGTCTAACACAGGACTTTTTAAAGCTGAGGGTACTCAAAGTGTCCTCCAAATGATGGACAAAACTGTGATGCCCATAAAGTTTTAAAAGCCAGAAACATCAATAGGGGCTTGATCAGTGCAACACTCCAGTACAGTCTGTAACTCTGCCCCTGGGAGAAGGATCCTTCCAGCTGGAAAACTCTGGGGTTTGGGCAGCATGAACTCATAATTTGGTAAATGCTCCTCAGAACGCCACAGCTCGATGCAAGGAAAGGTGTAATTTTTTTTTTAATGTCTTGTATTTCCCAGAATTTTGGCCACTCCATGTGTGCCCTGTTACTGAACTTTGTGTTGTCAGGAGTGCTGCTGTGTCATCTTTGTGCATCTCCAGCTGGCTGCCAAATCAGCTGTGATCCCAAACCTGGGTTTGGATGCTTGGCTGTGATAGAGGCTGATGAGCTTTGAGCTACAGCGAGGTGGTACTTCCTAAAGGGAAGCAGCTAATGAAATAATAGCAGTTAAATTCTGGGATGCAATCTGCATGGATTTTTAGGAGGAGGGGTTAAAAAAAAATTAAAAAAAAAAAAAAAAAGAAGCCTTTGCCATTCCGAAATTCTGTTGCTAATCTGATTTCCACGTGGCTGCCTCTCCCGTTGCATCAGTCAGCCCGTTTGGTGCAGTGCTGATCCGGGCTCCCAAAGTGCTGGAGATAAATGTAGCGTGGGAATAATCACTCAACTTCATCTTCCTGCTCTCTCTTAGCACGTATCCCTGGCACTGACAGCTCTGCAGAGTGGTGGAATCAGATCCTTGTTGCACAGCACAGGCGTGCGCGGCGTCCCCGTGGATGAGGATCCGCAGCGGACACGGCCTCGGCCTGGGAGATAGGGAATGGAACTGGCAAATGGGCATTCCAGGCAGTTCTGAGGAGGAGCTGATCCCGTATGGATCAGCTGGCACGCCATGGGAAGCGTCTGGAAGCACAGCCTCGAGTTTCTTAGAGTGCCGAGCAATTAATTTGGGCAAGCAGGGAGTTGTATGTGCACGGTAATTAACAGGGAAAGCACCTTAGGCCAGCATAACAACGTGGTGTGGGTGTCCTTCAGGTTGAGATTGCTGTAATTGCAGCAATTTAAACTGGCTTGATCAATGGCACGGCCCTGTGGAGTCACCCAGCCTGCCATGGGGCAGGGATTCTGCAAAACAGGTTAAATGTGATGGGCTGTGCCCAAAAAGGCACCTGCCCCGGGGCACCTGATTTCAATAAGCCCTGTGTAAACTGCCAGTAATCCTTTCTCAGGGCTCACTGAACGCTGAGGCTCTCACATGGAGACTGTTCCCTTCCTTATATAGGGCTGGATAAGTGCTGGGCAGTAATGAGATTGGAATAAAAGGCTCTGGGAGCAAAGATGAGCTGGCAGTCCTGGCTGGATCTTAAAACTGAGCCCTGTGTACACATGGACTTCAAACAAGTCCTTGGACTTGATGCCTCTGCTTGTGAACAGCAGCTGGGCTCTCAGGCTGTGGATTCACCCAGATAGAAACCCCTTTGCATTTAGGTTTCTTTTCTGAGGAGAAAAAAAAAATATCAATTTGACATATAAAACCATTTTTAGTGTGGTGGTTCTTATTTCAGAGCACCTGGGTTTGTTTTTATTTCACAAGAATAAGTTCAAACTGCATTAATTGTCACAGTTCTGAACTAAGAGAATCCATGTGAGATGCTGAATTAATATTTTGTCTGCTCTGTGTCTTATGTGCAGACAGAATTCTTAGTGTCCTGCTTAAAAATGTTTGTGGAAATACTGTTTTGTGTAGTCAGATATGGTCAAGGAAAAATCACGTCTCTCTGCCTTGTCTGTCCTTGATGAATTTATACACTGAGAAGGAAAACTGCTCTGGGTGTTCAGGAATCAGCTGGCAGATGTTAGTCCTAGAAAGCCTCAGCCTAAATCAGCGGTGTAGGTAAGGCATGGCAGGAATTGAGACAACAAAGGCAGCGCTTGAAATAATTTTATTTGCTTTCATGTTTACACTCTTTAGAAAAACAGGGCTGATACTTGGAAAGATTGGGAAGAGAGGGGAGTAGGGTTGATGAGGAAGAGGCAGAAGTGTGAACTGAAGGAAAATGGAGTTGTTTTGCTCTGGCATCTTCCCGGGGCTTTGCAGTTACTTGATCTGCTGTTTTTGAGGTTGGAGGTGGGGGCAGGTATGGAAAGGAGGCGGCGAGTGGGAGGTTTGATTTTTTTTTTTTTTTTGGTGTTTTTTTTTTTTTACCTGGGTGTACCTGAGCTGTTTCTCATAAAGCAGTACAAGCCAGAGTGGGTGAACATGGAACAACTTAGAAAAAAATTTTTTTGGGGGTAGTGACTCACTGCAACTTACCCAAAGTGACCTGATTTAGTTAAATGAGGCTAAATATAACCCATGTGAAAAGTACTGACATGTGGGAGGAGACGACAGAGTTGGCACTCAGCCTCTCTGTTCTGCAGGGAACATCTTTCACGACTGGTGACTAATAATTTTTACTCTTGCTGGCTTTGGAAATAACATCTCAGCTCCATCACCCCCTTGTAGGGAGAGGAGGGAAATGCTCTGCTGACCTGCCCATTTATCTACCTCTCTGCCTTTCAGCTCATTGCTATGGACAGTGCTATCACCCTGTGGCAGTTCCTCCTCCAGCTCCTCCAAGAGCCTCAGAACAAGAACATCATCTGTTGGACCTCCAACGACGGGGAGTTCAAGCTGCTGCAGGCAGAGGAGGTGGCCAGGCTGTGGGGGATCCGCAAGAACAAGCCCAGCATGAACTATGATAAACTCAGCCGAGCGCTCAGATACTACTACGTGAAGGTAACAAATCCCCCTCCAAATCCTTATCCATCTTTGCCAGCCTTAATGGGCTTTGTTTCCTTTTTCATCCCAGGCTTGAGGAAGTTGTGCTAGTTTGTTTAAAAGTGGGGATTTTTGAAATTTTTTTGGTTTTAATTTTATGTATCATTGTGCTGCCATTGGTTATTTGATAAGGTTTCAAGTGCAAAGTTTTGTCTTCGTGTCTTTGCTGACACAAATCTGTGCGTGAATTGTCGAATCCTTATCCCCTTTCCAAAAGTACATACCCTTGCAAGGGTTAAAATCCTCAACACTCCAGGTAAAGCAGCACTGGGAGATGATGGTTGAGGTGGTGAGTGTTCCATCACCGTAAGATCTTTTCTGTCTCTACAAAAAACCTTCAAAATAAGGATTTTCAGTGAATCAGCCCCAAGTATTTTTATTTTTCTCTATGTGTTCGGAATGTCACCTCTGACATGGTCAGTGATTCCAGCCCAGCAGAGTAAGAAGCTTCTCTTGTTTAGCAAAATGTCTTCAAGACTTACCTTGGTTTCAATAAGCCGTTTATCCCACAACTGTTACTGTGCCAGTGTGGGAGATAAAAATAAAGCAGTTTCTGAGGAACCTCAGTGGGTAGCAGGTGGTAAGTTACTGGTGTTTATTGTTGGGTGGCACAAATCTGGCTTTGTGCTGAGAGTTCTCAGTAATAATAATTGCATGATAAATGGAGATGATCGGAAGCCCAAATTGCGTGTGGCATTTCGCTGAGGAGCAAAACAAGTTTGACAGATGCTGTTTTGTGGTATTGGAATAGCTGATTATCCTGCATTCTGCTGACTAGTTCAGCTACTTACTTTCCTTTATTATCATCTTATTAAGGATAAAAGTGGTCTGATTAGAAGTACCAGCTCTCAACTCTGCAAAGCTGTAGAAACCCTTTAATACTGCAGGTTCTCCTGTTAGGTTACCCTGACTGTACCCAGGTCAGTGTTCCCTGAGGGGGTTAATGGGTAATTTTTTATTTTCTTTAAAAATAAGAATAAATCGTCAGGTTTTAGGCTGGTTTTAGTGTATTTAATGTCAGGTTGAGCTCACCTGTTTTGGTGTTTTGTCTGTGAGCTCTGGGAGTGCTGCTTTGGGAGCAGGACTGAATTGCAGGAATGCAGTGTGTTTTTAAGGCAGAAAAAAGAAACATTTTTTGATGAGAGATTACAGGCTTTAATTCCTCTGCCTATTTTGGGCAGCGTTTGTAGGAAGAAAATTAATCTGAAGAAGGTCTAAATATATATATAAATATATATATCTTCTTCCCCGCAGAATATCATTAAGAAAGTGAACGGGAAGAAGTTTGTGTACAAGTTTGTGTCGTACCCGGAGATTTTAAACATGGACCCGCTTGTCGTGGGCCGGATAGAAGGGGACCCCGAACTGACCGGCTTTGGGGAGGTCAACAGCGCTCCAAAGGACGTGGAAAACTGCGGGAAGGAGAAGTCCCAGTCGTGCGCCAAGTCCTCGAGCCGCAACGACTACATCCACTCAGGCCTGTACTCCTCCTTCACCCTCAACTCCCTCAACAGCTCCAGCGTCAAACTCTTCCGCTCCATCAAGATCGAGAACCCGGCGGAGAAGCTGACGGAGAAGAAGCCTCAGGAGCCGACCCCCTCCGTCATCAAGTTTGTCACCATGCCCTCCAAAAAGCCCCCCTCGGCCCCCCTGGTCTCCACCACCTCGGCGGTCTCCGCCGCCCCCGCGGCTTCCGCCGCTCCCGCCGCGTCCTCCTCCCTCCCCGTGGGATCCGAGGAGACCCTGCAGACCCTGGAGACGCTCGTGCTGCCCAAGCTGACCGTCCCCGAAGCTCCAGCACCTTTGCCAAACTTAACCACCAGCTTCACCCCCACCCCGCCCATGTCCTCGGTGTCTCCCACTCTGCAGGTCCCCTCCACGCCCCCGTCGCCGCCCCTGAGCTCCAACCCCGACCTGGACATTGACACGGACATCGAGTCCGTGGCCTCCCAGCAGCTGGAGCAGGCCCAGAGCCTTCAGCACCAATCCCCAGAGCCCAAAGAGCAGCAGGATTCATCCGTGCTGGAGAAGGAATTTGCCAATCACCTCTCCAGATCTAAGAAACCCAAAGGGCTGGAGTTGGCTCCCACTCTCGTCATTACGGGCAGCGATCCAAGTCCCCTGGGGATTCTGAGTCCTTCTCTCCCAACTGCTTCTCTTACTCCAGCACTTTTCTCTCAGGTAACCCAACTCCCTTCCTGGTTTCTTTTTTTAAAGTAACAATGGTGATTATGTTACATTTTAAACCAGTAAGGGAAGGCAAGTGGAAAAATGAATAGTTGGTTCATTGTGTGTGGTGTTCTGAAACCCAGGATGTCCCTCCCCCCCCTCCTTTTTTTTTTTTTTTTTCTTTAATTAAAACCTAAGTTTTATTCACAGTTGGTATTAACTTCGCCCCAAAAGGGTGCCCAAGTGGTGTGTCAGCCCTGCACGTCTGTGCAGGGTTGGCATGTGGAGGCAAAACCCAAACCAGCACCAGCAGGATCCTCTGTAAACCTTGCCAGGGGGGGAAACTGAATTATTTCAGAAACCCTAAACCCTGCCCTTATCCTTCAGCTGGTTCTGAAAATGCTTTAAAAATAGAGAAGCACAGAGGTGTCTGTTTGGCAGCTTTTTTTACTCAAATATAGGCATTTAGTTAAGGCCAGAGTCTTGTGAGTGAACATGAACAGCAATAAGAGCAGCTGCTTAATTTGGTTGTTATCTTTGTGTGGGAAAGGAAAGCTTTTATGTCTCATGGAAAACTTGGAAGAGAACTGAATCCAGCTAGGCTGTTAAATCATTCTGTATCTATTTAATCTCTTTCCTGTAATAAATTGGAATTAGAGCGAAGCTGTAGGGAAGCTGCTGATTGAGAAGCAAAATGGCTGAAGACGGGGGGGGGAAAAAGCAAGTGGAGTTGCTCTTCTGGCACCCTGGGAAGTGTTTGGCTGGTGAACCTGGAGCATCCAGGGTATTCAGAAGCTGGATGGAAACTTGTTTTATTGTTACTTACACTGTCAAGTGCCACCCAGACCAGTCTTGTGCCTGCTGTCTGCTCCTTTTGGATTCCTAATCCCAGTTTTCCCAAGCCCTCGCAGGTGCTGGGTGCTGGATTGCAGGCAGAGTTGCTCCGCTGGAGGTTCCAGCAGGATTTGGCAGCTGTTGGGAAAAGAGGGCGGGTTGCTCAGCCAGGGGAGGGGGAGCAGGGAATGGGAGTTCCTGACACTGGGAGCCAGCCCTGGCAGCTGCAGGAGCTGAGGTGGCTGTGGCTGGGTTTCCACGTGCTCTTGCTCCAGGGGGTGGGTCTCACTCAGCTCTCCTGTCTCTTCCAGACTCCCATCCTGCTGACTCCCAGCCCGTTGCTCTCCAGCATCCACTTCTGGAGTACCCTGAGCCCGGTGGCTCCTCTCAGTCCTGCCAGGTTGCAAGGTGCTAATACCCTCTTTCAGGTGAGTTCAGGAGTGTTTTCAATTAACTGCAGCACACGGGGAATAAACAATGCACTGGACGTTTTTACTCCAGAAATAGCTGATAATTATAACAGAGGGACTATTTAGACCTGTGCTTTCCCAGCAGCCTGTATTAAAGTCACTTGTTAATTGAGGACATGGGCAGTGCTCAGTGCAGGGATTGTTGTGGCATTAAAAAAAGTAAAAGTGGAAACCAAGAGGATTCTTTGGAGTTTATTCTTTGTTGTGTTTTGTTGTTGGGTTTGGTGGGGTTTTTTTTCCCTGGGGGGGGCTTCTACCTGCACAGATATGGGAGGAACAGCGAATTTAAGTGGCCTCTTGCCTAATCATTTTTGTTTTGTCTCTTTAGTTTCCATCAGTGCTGAACAGTCACGGCCCATTTACTCTGTCTGGACTGGATGGACCCTCTACCCCTGGCCCGTTTTCCCCTGACCTCCAGAAGACATAGCACATGAACTCTTGGAAAGGACACATTGGCAAGCAAGGGAAAGATGGGACACTTCTGTTTAACCACGTTTTTTTTTTAAAATGAGCAATTTCTAGTTCCACACAGAGATTCTCAACAATCATAGTTTTTCGCCATTCCCATTCCAAAGTAAAATGCCTTTTTTTTTTCCCCACAAAATTCCCTTTTTTTTTCCTGAAGAACCCAGGTTGGGAATGTATATGCAAACGCCTTAATAGGAGCTGCAGCTCCAGTTCTCTTCCCTCCTTGGTTTGGAAGATTTCACACGGTTGAAAGGGACTTTTGGTTGGTGTTGCAGCAACTGAGTCTGCACTGACTGCAGTAAACAGTGTCAGGGAAGTCTTTTCTCTGTGACTTCTGGGGGAAAAAAAAAAACCCTCTGTTCTTCTGCTTCCTGTGCTTGGCAAGAAGACACCTAATCAGGATGGAAGCTGGCATTCCAGGAAATGCTGGGGAAGGGGGTGTGTGTGCACTCCAGCTTTGCCTCGGGGCAACGGGGACTTCTGCAGCAACAAAAGCAGCCTGGTCTGTTCTGCTGTAAAAAAACGTCTCGTCTTTTTTGCAGGGAGAAAATTTTCAAGGACTATTCATAAATGCTTCATATGCTGAGATACGGACAATTTGGGAATGGTGGTGTGTCCCACCAGCCCAGCCCCCCCCTGGGAGGAGCGGTCTGGCTGGAGCCTGGATGCTCCCCTGCCCTCCCTTGGGTGGGGAGGTGAGGTCTGGAGAGAGGAAATGAGTTGGTGGGATGAGTTCCTTTCAATCCTCAGAAAGTTTGAATGCTGAAGTCCAAACATTTCTTGTGCCAGAGAGCTGTTCCAGAGCCTGTGATCTCACTGCTGGACGAGCAGGATGGTGGATTTTCCTCGGAAGTTTTGGGGGATGGGGTGGGGGTGCCTGTGCTGAGGTTGCTGCCTGGTGCTGGAGTTCCACACCCAAACAGTGGTGAGAGCACAGATGTCCCAGCATTAAACCTTAACTGCTCTTTCCCACAGGTTTGGAAAAGTTTCCTGCTTTTCCACAAGTGGAGGAGCTCCTCTTCTACCAGCTCTTAGCTTGACTTTTGCATTAGAGCTGTTTGGTTTTTTTTTTGAGGAAGCACTGACCCAAAATCAGGCTCAGTGTGTCCAGCTGCCTGAGGGGGTTCCGCAGTGTGCTGACCTCGTTGTAAATCTGCTCTTGCATTGCTTTTCTTGGTGGTGTGGATGGATTAATAATGCAGGATTCATTTCCAGAGCCATTTGAGACGAAATGAAATTTGTAGATAGATTTTTTTTTTTTTTTTTTTTTTTTACACCTCAGGAGGCCTTTTAAGAGAACTGAGGAGTGTAAGGAGGGAGATTTTCCTCTCTCAGACCCTCAGAGTCTGGATGTCTTGGTCTGTGGATGCTGGGCCCTCCTTCCACTTGGGGCATCTGATGTCAGGCAGCAACTTCTGCTGATGGGGATGGAAGGGGATCTTTTCCATAAAACACCCAGTAGAAAACAGGTGGGAACATCTCTCTCCTTCAGCCCCCTCCCCTGGCTGCCTGCAGAGTTTTCAGGAGCAGAAGATCGTCCCTTCACAGCAAGAGGAGCTGACAGTGTTTGCTGTACATACTGCACCCTGTTCCACGGAGAAGCGGTGAACTCAAGCTTTTCCAGAGTTTTCCCATTGCCACTTTTTTGCAGGCTTTGGAATTCACTTTCAAAGGGTGTTGACAACGCCCGAGACTTCTCTTCCTTGGTGGTGTTACCTTCCTGTATTCTGAAACGTGTAAACCACTTTGTGTGTTCCTGACGTGACACCTGGGACAGGTGGGTGGAATGGTTGATTTTTGGTGTTTTGGTTTGTTTTTTTTTTTTTCCTGGGCATTGTTCATCCAGAACACCTGCCCAGTGGGAATGGGAGAAAAGAGTATTTCCTTCTTCAGGTGGAGAAGCAGGGAGTGAGCTCATGGAGTGACCTGTCTTCCTGTTGGGTTCTGTCAGAGGCGTAAATGCTTCACATTTAGACATCAGCAAGATGCAGGATGAAGTTCCTGTGCCAGCAGCTCTTAAAATGTGCAATATTGACCGTTTTTTGGTGTTTTTTTTCATTATTATTGTTAATTTTTAGTGCAGAAGCAAAACTGCAGATGATAACTGAGAGCAGGCATCTGGAATTTTCTGGTTTGCATGGTGGCTTTTGAGTCTGCTCTAGAAAAATATATATAGCTATGTATAAATAGCAGCACTTTTTTTAATGGTTGTTTTAGGTTGGCCAATTTTACGCCCACCGAGTGTGTGGACTTTTGAGAGCAACATTGCAGGCTAGGATTAGAATTTAAAAGTAATTAATGAGCACTAAAGAAAAAAAAACCCTTGCAATTTAATTGCTTCCCTTTTCCCTGTCCCCTATGGAGAAAAGCCAAGTTTTATTTGTTTAAAAGTCGTGTATGTGCACACATGCACTTAATTCTCTGTGAACTTTTATCACTTTGAGCATAGGTATGCAAGAGAACCCGGCCTGGGCTCCTGCTTTTCTCCGGGAAGCTCCAGGAGAGGAGCAGCTCTGCTGCCTTTTTCTCCATTACGACTTTCAGGTCACTTAAAGGGAATATTATCTTGTATATATGCTGCCTGATTAAACACACATTTACTGACAGGTATGGAACTGCCAGCTTTTTTTTTTTTTTTTTCTTTTTTTTCTTTTTTTTTGGATCACATTCCTGACTTCTTGGGGCTCAGTTATGTGATGGGCTGGTTTCTCTGTTAGGTCACTTCAGGAGCACTTTGCAGCTCCTTGCAACTTGTTTTTTTGTTTAGTGTAGGGCAGGAGGGGGTTAATTAATAGAGGTTCTCTTTTCCTGGCCATGGTGGCAGTTTGCACTGTGGTGGTGGCTTAAAAAAAAAAATGACAATGCAGCATTACAGAAACCTTTTCTTAGATACCAGTGGATGTTGCTGGAGTTGCCAAGGGATTGTTGGGAATGCTTGGGAATATTTGCATTGGTTCATTCGTAGCTGGTGGTAGAATTGGACTGGATGAGCATCTGTCTTGCTTCTGGAAATCTCTTTTCTGTGTCACTGCTGCTGTTCCTGCAGAGTTGGGAGCCTTGCCCTGCTGGTGCTGTGTGTGCCACACCTGAGATCCTGGACTCTCAGGATGCCACTGGCAACACAAGCAGCCCATGGAAGCTGGAGTGGGTTCATGATTCCCTCCAGTTACGGAACCATTCCTGTTCTGTCTCACCTGGGAAGGGAATCCTGGGGAGGAGAGGGATGGAGGAACGCTGGGGTTTTTTTTTAACCAGCAGCTCAAGTCCAGAGCCTTGTTTCAGAACCTGAGCTTGTCAGCAGTGGTGGCTGAATGCAATTCCTGTGCACTGTCTTTGGCACATTCAAGCTGTGTTTTGCAGTAGGTCAGCAGGTGATAAAATGCCTTGAGTTTGAGAAGTCACTGCTTTACCTCGGAGCATCCTCAGACTTCAGGATCCATGCAGTCTTTGGTGTAGGGTGTGAGTGAGAACAGAGGCTTTGCCTGTTCAGTGGCTTGTTTGGGATAATTTCCTCCCTCTGCTACGTTTTCAGACCTCAGATTTCTCACAAACAGATCCTTCTTGTGTTTCCAGCGCTCATTCTAAGGACAGTGAAGGCTGCTTGGGTGCAACCCCCCCTTCTCCCAGCTTTCCTCAGCACTGAGCTGCAGCAAGGCCAGGTTCCCTCGTCACTGCAGCTTTCACGTGAGAGCTCTGCAGGCTGAGGTGGGAGGACAGAGCTGTCCTAGAGCACTGATGGGTTTCTCAGGTGAGAGTTCTGCTCCACTTCTGCAGCGTTTTCCCCTGTCAGAACCTGCAGTTCTGACACTCTTGCTTCCCATGATTTATTCATTTAGCTTTTAGTTACCTTTCTGCTCCTGTTCTTATAGCAGTTTTGTATGTACTCCCGTTTTATGATTTAAGCTCTTCCATTTCTTTAAGGCATATTTGTTTACAGTACATCTCAGTGTTGTATCAAGAGGCTCTCTTGGTATTGCCAGCTCTGAAAAATCAACTACAGCCGTCGTTACCGAGCGTTGTCGGAGCCGGCGGGCGATTTAAAACTCGCTGTTCGAGTTTTGGGTGTCCACAACAGTTTTGTTCTGTTTCATTTCCTAGCTCTCCTGTGTTGAGGAATAGAATGTGGATCTGTGAGAGTAGAAATAGGGAAAAAAAAAAAAAAAGAGACCTTCTGGCCTCTGAGGGGGTGGGGATGGATGGTTTGGTTTGGTTTAAGACATCCCGGAGCGTGGCATTGCAAAGAGCCCCCCCAAGGACCTCACACTTGGCAGGTCAGTCAGAAATCCACGAGGATTGCAAACGTGTTGCTCAGAAGCTGTTCAGGATGTTTCATGAGGATGTCTTGCCTAAACAGGGATATTTTTTTTTTAATAGTTGGGTTGGAATTTAACAGAACAGGAATTGGCAGTGGCTGTTGGGTCCGGGCAGCAAATCCGCTGTGAACAGATCCGTGGATGGTGGGTTATGGGACGTGCTGGAGCTGCTCTGCTGAGATCAGGTGAAGGCTGAAGGATAAAATGCAGTGACAGTTCTGTGCAGTTCTCCAGGGGGTTCCTGCTCTGCCTTGGATCAGCCCCTGTGCACACGGAATTCCACGTGGAGCGAGTAGTGCTGACCGTGGAGGCAAGAGCTGGTCCTGGCCAGAGAAGAACTCATGGAAATGGAACCAGATCTTTCTCCACAGCCTAATTTTAGTCATGAGGGTACAGCAGAGGAGCTGCAAAGCCACAGGGATGGTACATTCCTGCAAATCTGTTTGCAGGAGCAGCTCCTTTGGAAAGTCCCTGATGGACTTGGTGCCATCTGGAGCAGAAAGGTGAAGCTTTGGGTTTAGTGTGTGCTGGATCGGGACCTGAGGCACGTTATTCCTGCTTTTATACCAAGAACAAACAGAAATAAGGAGGATCTGTTCACTGCAGAAGGGTGATTGGTTTGGGGCTGAGCAGAACCAGGCTCTGCCAGGTAGGAAAGCTGGGCAGGGCCCGTGTTTCTTCTTGGATGGGCGTGTTGAAGTATTTCCCTTTTTGGAATAGCAAGATACCTGCTTCATAAACATTATTTTTGGGGGGAAAAAAACCTCCTCAAACTGACTAGAATTGCTTTCTGTTTACCCCTCCCAAAAAAAACGTGGTAGAAGATTTTTTTTGCCTGTGGAGCTATTCCAGCTGTCTGATGAGAAGCACACTCTGAGAGCTGAAAACTTGGGGGGTTTTTTTAGATTCCTCGTGCCTGGAATAGCCCTGCCTGGAGCACACGAGTGTCATGCCTGACAGGACGTGTCCAGCATGGAGTCTGGCTTCCAGATTTGTATAAATACCCCTTGCCACGTTCACTGCACTCTGCAGTTGCCACTTTTACATGTTTTGCACACCCTGGTGAGGGTTTTTATTTGGGGTAGGGGCTTTTTCTTTTCTTTTAGTCCTCCAGTCAGTCGTGCCAGAGGTTATTTTTAAAAGCAGCTCTGACTTTGGTGGATGCCACATCTCCTAAAAAAACAACAAACAAACAAAAAGTGTCTTAAACGTGTCTTTGAATAGTTTTGTGTTCACGGAACAAAAGGTTGGATTTCTTTACTCGAGACACTTCTCTGTTGAGACCGTGCATTGCAGAGGGTTTTCATCTCAAGCTGGTTTTGGCAGGGGGTGGAACAGGGTCATGCTGGACCTTTGGAGAACAGGGACCTTCATGGAGGCACTGAGTGACCTGTGAGGGGAGGCTGGAGGTGATTTTGGAGCCCATTTCAGCCCTGGAGCAGTACATGCAGCAGTGCTGTACCAATAACTGGAAGCTGTGGGGTGTTTTTTTTTATTATTTTGACTTTTTTTTTTTCCCAGTTGGGTTTATTTTTTCCTGGTTTATTTTTTTGAACACAGGAAGGCTTTTGAGAGTGGCCTCTGCATGGTTCCTGGTGTGTGCTGTGTGCTGGGGTGGGGGGTTACAATACCTGGGTTTGCTCGAAGCTCCTTGAGATTGTGTTTTTTTCTTTTCTTTTTTTCTTTCTTTTTTTTTTTTTTCTTTTGGCTGGCATGTCTTAAATCTTCAGGCTTTGGAAACTGCTTTCTAGAGTTGTGTTGACTTTTTGTTCTGCTGTTGTTCAGTTGCACAGAGTTTTCTATATATGATGTACTAGTTTTGACGTTAATTCTCTGTGAACAGGGTTGAGATTACTTCCTTGTAGTTTAAAAAAAAAAAAAACAAAAAAGAAACAAAAGTTGTATTCCTAAAAAACTCCCTTTTCAGATCTTGTTTGTATCCTGTTGCAGTGTTACCAGATGGCCTTATGTACGTCACAGTGTTTTGTGATAAGTACAGTAGCACATTTAATGCTTATTTCCCCTCTGTTTTTATAGCTGAGAAGTGTATTTGTAATAACAAGAGCTGAATAAACGGGCAAATTCCAGGTAAGGGTGGTGGTTGTCTCCCCTCGTGGGTACTGGGGCAGCTGGAGTTAATCTGGGACTAAATCCTTAACCAGCACGAGACTGCCTTGGGAATTCTGAGACTTGGCAGGCGTGGATCGTTTGTGCCAGGGCCTTGGGAATCACAGCAGCTCCCCTGGCTCCCCCACAACTGCTCCATCTTCCCCGGGCTGAGAACCTGCTCTGGGCAGCTTTGGGGCTGGGACAGTCAGGGGAGGGAAGCTGAAAGTTAATTTTTAGCAACTTCAGCGACCTGGGAAGGTGGGCAGGCCAGTTTTGTCCTGTTTATTTCTGCAGTGCAGTTCTGTTCTGGGAAGTGACTTCCTGAGGCCTTTAGAGGTTGAATTTTTAGGCTAATCCTGGGTTTGTTTTTTGGTTTTTTTTTGCTGTGGAGTTCTGGGCTCTCCAGCAGCTCTGACAGCTCTGCTGGGAGCAGCCTGAGCAGATTTCCCTGTCGGGTGATTTTTCAGCTCTGCACAGTGGATCCAGTTTTACCTTCCTGTGATTTTTAACTCAGCAAATGAGTGGTAAAAATGACGTTGGAAGCAGCAGGGAGAACATTTTCAGTCGCTCTTTCCCGAACAGAATTGCATTCGTTTTTTTTCCTATAAATATATAAATAGTACCAAGTCTAGAGACAAAGCAAGTTACGTTGTAGTGAGTGTCTCGACTTCCTACACTGGAGACTTTTCTAGACATGATCTTTTAGAGACAACTGTAACCTCACCCCTCTGTGGTCCTTGTTACAGTTGGGTGAACCTGCCTGGGACAGAAAAGCTTCTCAGTCTGACTTAGTTTTTTTTTTTTTCTAAATAATACCTTATAATAAGAGTATCTTAATGCCATTGTGTTTAAAAAGAAAAAAAAAATGCTGGTATGTAATGCAAGTACATAAATAGCCAAAGTTTTCAGTAATTGTTCAGTGTTACTAAATTTTGCTTTTATTTAACCTTCCAAGATAACATTTAGGAAGACCTTCAGCATGTTGAAACCACAAAAGTTCTGATCAACTCTTGATTAGAGCAGATGTGGAGTTATTTGAACACATTTCAGGTTTGAATGCAATTTGGAGGCAAAGTTTTTTAAGATGCAAAACTTCCTTTGCACTGTAATGACACTTCAAATGCTGCTTTTACAGTGGCTCATTGGTAATTGTTATTCAAACATCATGAAGGTCTTTCCTGAGAAATCAGGTGACTTTTCTATTGCTTCAATTTTTGTGCAAAAAAGTAAAAATAAAAAAAAAAAATAAAATCAATGTATTGCAATCTTTTTTAAAAACGGGGTGGGAATAGTTAAAAGAAAACTATTTTATGTAAGAACTGACAGAGGGATTTGCTTTGTATAATGCAAGCTGGCTTTAAAAAAGCATTGTAGCAAATTATTCAAGTCAATCATATGTTAATAGTTATGTGCAACCAGACATGCAAAACAATTGTATTTTTTTAAATAAATATTTTTAACAAAGTTTCTGCTCTTTTGACTGGGTTTTTTTGGGGGGCTTTTTTTTCAGTAGAGGAAATAGAAAGTTACACCTGCAGGGCAGCTTGGGCTGTGAGGAAGAGGGAGTTCAGCAGAGCTTGAGGTAAAAATTCTTTTTACAGCATCCCAGGTTGGAGTGGAGACAGAGATGGAGTTGGGAAGGATGGACTGGGGTGGAGTTTGGGGGTTTTGTGCACACACCCTTTTTTCCTTCGGGGTATTTCCAGGAGAGTAACAGTGGCATCCTGTGGAGCTGGAGAAGAACTGCAGCACCTGGTGCCCGGGGTGGGATCTGTTCTAGGACTGGAATAGAGCCATGGAATGGTTTGGGGTGGAAGGGACCTTAAACATCACCCAGTGCCACCCCCTGCCATGGCCAGGGACACCTTCCACTACAATTGTTTGCTCCAAGCCCCCTCCAGTCTGGCCTTGGACACTTCCAGAGATGGACCAGACACAATTTCCTTGGGTTATTTCCATTTTTCCGACCATTTTGTCCATAAAACCTCTTCACAAGCTCCCACAGATGGTCCTGTGGAAAGAGCCTCAAGAGCTGATGAATTAAAAGGACTTTGTACCTGAAGGTGAGTGTATTAAGCAAAAGCAGGAACAGGTAAATGCAGTTCAGCTCTGGGTTTAGCTCATCCCTGGCCTGCAGGAACCTCACATGCCAGAATCAGAATCTATTCTAGGATTCTCTAATGAAACTAAACCAAATTGAAGGCCAGGCTTGGAACAACCTGGGCTGCTGGAAGGTGCCCCTGCCCATGGCAGGAGGGTGAAATGAGGAGTTCTTTTAAGGTCCCTTCCAACCAGACCATTCTGGGATTCTAGAAAGGCTAAAAAGAGTTTAAATTAAAAGAGCTGGTAAATTCAGGCTGAGTTTCCAAGCTGGTCAGTGCAGGAGCTGATGGTCTGGGCCAGAAAGAGCTGGAGTTACCCGAGTCCAGGCACGGGAGGATTTAGCAATCAATCACCTTTAATTAAACACTGCTTTATATACACACATACATATGTACATCCACATACAGCAGTTAAAGCAAGAAGAACATGTCCAATCACTCACTGAAGAAGGAGCTATTTGGAGCTTTACATTCCTCTAAAGCCAGTCCTTCCCCCGGAGCTGGAGCAGGCCATGCGTGGGCTATGAGAGTACCTTACACAAGGCACCTGGATGAGAATATTGCACAGGTAAAGCAGCTGGAGACTGGCTCCCAAATACACCTCTGGGCAAGCTTCAATTGGAAGCTGGAAATGAAACCACCCTAAAGGACACTGCCACTTGCAGCAGCTGAAGTAGTGACTTACTTAAAGCAAAACAAACCCATCACAAACTCATTCTTCGAAAAAAAACAAAGAAAAAAAAAGAAACAAAACAAAAAAAGAAAAAGCAAATGATTGTAATAATCAAGAGGCCTGAGCATGCTGAGTAAGACACTGTCTTAGTGAACGTGTTTGTAGTGTGGAATATACAGGAATCAAGTGTGCAAATCCAGGCAGGGCCTGCTACCACGTGCAGCTGGTGGGCTCTGCCAGTGTGGAACCGTCCCCCATGGGGGGGATGGATGGAGGTGGCACTGACTCGAGTCCATCTTGCACAAAAATGAATTAAAATCCAGGATTGTGCTGTAAATTCGAGGGGCTTCTGTACATTACAGGCCAGAAAAATAAATCTGTTCAATTCAGCAACTAAGCCAGGAGACATTCAGTCACGTGTGGAGCAGAGAGAGAGCCTCTTCCTTCCCACCCTCCGTCCTGAGCAGGTGAGGAAGTTCATTTTACAGGAGGAACCGCTGGGAAATCCTCTCTGCTCACACCTTTCAGCCACAGGGCCAGGCTGGCACTTAAAAGTCCTTTTTGGTCCAAGTGACACTGGCAGCTCGTGCTCAGCTCGCTGCAGTGTTCTGGGATGTTTTCCTTGATTCTCACTTACCCAATCGAATGTGCTTTTGATTGCAGAGAACTTGCATGATTCAGTCATTAGATGTGAAATCACCCTCAAGAGTAATGCTTAATTGGGGGGGGGGGATGGTTTATTGCTTGTGTAGAGCTTGGCCACTTCCTCAGCGCTGGTACTGCCCCGTGTCATCTGGCACTGCTGCTTTGTCGGGAGAGGCATCGTCCAGCTCTGCAGGATGGACACGAAATACCTGAATGAACAGTTCTGCTGAGCCTAAAGGGGGTGTGCATGAGCTCTCCCAAACAGGAATGGTGCTTTTCCACCACCCACCACAGGAGCTTAATTCACTGGTCGGGGAAGAAAGTCACAGAGGTTGGAAAATCCCTCCGAGATCGAGTCCAACCTGTGCCTGATCCACGGCTTGTCCCCCAGCCCCGAGCACTGAGTGCTGTGGTCAGTCCTTCCTTGGACACCTCCAGGGGTGGGGACTCCCAACCTCCCTGGGCAGCCCCTTCCAATCTCTGACCACCCTTTCCATGAAGAAATTCCTGCTGATGTCCCACCTGCCCCTCCCCTGGCACAGCCTGAGGCCGTTCCCTCTCCTCCTGTCCCTGTTCCCTGGGAGCAGAGCCCGACCCCCCGCTGGTTCCCCCCTCCTGTCAGGGATTGCAGAGCCAGAAGGTCCCCCCTGAGCCTCCTTTTCTCCAGGTTGAGCCCCCCCAGCTCCCTCCCTACAGCTCCAGTCACCCCTTTCCTGCCCCCTGGACATGTTTTTCCCTGTCACACTCTGCTCCTTTTGCAGGAGGTGCTTATAAAAACAAACAGCCTTTGCAGACTGAGGTGATAAGCAAGAAATCAGCGAGGCTTTCTTCAAGAGCCTGACAGCTGCCCTTGGATAGCAGAGCCACTTGTTCCCTGGATTTCTGCCAGGGAACGGCACAGGGGAGCTGGTTCAGTCTCTGAGATCCACAGACCATTCCTACTTTTCCCCTCGCTTCTCCAACAGAAAAGAAAGCAAACCTCGGGTTGTGGCTGCCAAGGCTTTGTGGGCAAGTCAAAGCAGGAAAAGGGGAGAGGAAGCAGCAGTAAAATAAACATTTCCTTGCATTTTACTGGAGTGCTGGGCCCTGGCTCTGCGCTGCTGCAGGTGCTGCTCTTCCTTTCATTCCCAAAAGCAAGGCTGAGGGGCTGGTGCTTTCTTACCTGGAGAGGGCTTGGGGTACATCCTGTGGAAAAACACCAGGAAGGCGTAGAAGGTGAAGGCCAAGCATCCAAAGATCATCCCACAGACCAGGAAACTGTAGCTGCCCCGATCGTGGATAATCTGCAACGGGAAGGGAAACGGGAGAGGGAGCAGCAATCAACCACAGCACTCAGATACCTCAGTGAGGGCTTCACTGGGTGATAGCTCGAGAGGTCAGGCAGTGCTTCTTCCCAGCAGCTGCACAAAACCAGGACTAAAGTTTTGACTTTAAAATTCCAGGCAGTTTTTGGCCTGTCTTGCCTACTCACCGACCCCACCAGCAGCTGTAGTACCATCTCCCCAATCCCAGCTCCAGTCACCAACACCGTTGTGGCACAACCTGCAAGGAAAACAGTGCAAGGGATGGTGGCAGGAACAGGTGGAACAACCCAGCAGGGTCAGCTTTAAACTGCTCTTCCAGGGATCTCCCCACACAAGAGTTACAAAAAATCCTCAATGTGTGTCCCCACTTAAGGCTGAAAATGCCTCTGCCCACCTGCAGCAGAGCAGAAAGGGAAAAGTTTAAGCCCCCAAACCCCAAATCTCCCTATCCCTCGTCCCTGTTGGCAGAGGTGATGTTGCTCCTTGCTGGAAAGATTCTCGTTTTTCTGTCTGGCTGCCCCTGAGCCAGAGGTTGGCAGAGACCTCCTGGGAGAGCCGGCCAGACTCGGGGGTTTTCCAGCTCGCTGATAATCTGAGGATGTTTTCAAAACATCCTCCCTGCAAAACCTCTAGGGCAGCACTTCTGTGAGCCCGAGATCCCTAAAGCTGCAGGAAAGCGGGAACCAGGCTGGATCCAGGCTGGAATGAACAATTCCAAAGCAGATCTCTTGCTCCCAAGGCCACCCCTGGGGAGGAAAGGAGCTGCTCGGGGTGATGGGATCTGACCACCCAGCAGCTCCCAGAGCCTGGCAGGTGTTCCCAAATCCCATCTCACCCCTGTACTGCAGGATGTCCTCGGTGTAGGCCAGCATGCTGGGGAAGGTGCTGCTGAGGAACAGCCCCAGGGAGGCCGTGCCCACGAACAGGAAAACGACGCTGGAGGAGAAAATCAGGAGCAGGAGGAAGGTCACCAGGACTCCAACCTGTGAATAAAACACACACACACACACACGGAATAAGAGAAATGCTGAGCTGCAACAGGCTCCAGGTTTTATTTCCAGCAGGGGAAATAGCCTGGGAAAGGAAAATGCGCCGAGAAAGGAGCAGTCTTGGAGAAAACGAAGTAGCTGCACAGGTAAAATCCATCTGGCTTTAGGGAATTTGGTGGGGTTTGTAACAGGATTTTATGATATTAACTTGGGTTTATGTCTCAACTTCATTATGCAGAAACTTCAGGTTGTGCCCAGAAAAATACTTATTGATATTTAATGTTTTAAATAATTGCTATAATAATAATATAATAAAAAGCTATGTAAATATTGATGCATGTCAAATAAAGTAATAATTAATACAGTAGTAGTGCTCCTTCCATGATACATACATATTTCAATCACTAATAATTCTTGAACCTGAATAAGATTTAACTGCTGAATGAGACTTGACTCGCTCTCAAAGAATTAACTCTCAGTAACTGCTCAGAAAGCAGCCACAGCATTAAAGCCAAAGAGCCATCTACATTGAAATAAACGTGCCCTCACCTCTGGCTTGTACAAGAAACAGCCAAAAACTCCCCGAAACGCCCAAGTGAGGCCGGGCAGAGTCAGCAGAGGGAGCTCTGAGATTCCAGCTCGTACTGAATTGTCTCAGCCCTGACTGGAGCCCATTTGCATGAGCTCAAGGGAGATTTGGACTCCGAAGAAGCTGAATTCAAGCTGCTGTTTGTGTGACCCTGCAGTGCCTCCAGGAGTTGGGTTATCCTACGGGAGCAGTGCCAGCTGCCAGCACGGCACAGGGGTCAGGGCCAGCCAAGGGGATTTTTACTCAAAATACCCCAAAATGTCTCTTCTCACCACCCTGTGCTCGGCCTCACAGTGTTAGCTGTGAAACTTGCCACCAAAATAACTTCTGGTTTAAATAAATTGTACATTAAATGCCTTCTCACTCCTGTCTTCTTCTTTAGGAAATGGGAATGGGATCATCTCCCTCCCTGTTGCCTCATCCTCACACACATCCTGGAGGGATTCCTTCCCCTTTCTCCAAGTGAACATGTTTCACTAATTTAAGCCACCTCACACCACGCTGGTTTCTCTGACAACTGCTGCAGTGTGAGCAGAGAATTTATGGAATGATCTGCCTTCCCTTTCCCACGGAATTCATTTCCCTGCAGATCCCAGAGGGGACAGTGTGCACAGTAAATGAGGTTGGCAGGCACCTTCCTGGGTGCTCTCACCACCTCTCCCGCCAGGCTAACCGAGGAGTGGGCTCTGCGAGGTCCTACAGCCAAGTTTTGAGTCTGGAGGTCCCCTTGTCCTGCCCCACCTGGTGCCAAACGTGCCCCAGAGAGAGGAGCTGGAGCTCTGCAGGTCCCAACCACGCCGAGACAGCCCGGGGGGGATTAAACCAGGACTGGAGCAGCCTAAACCCAGCCTTACCACGTTGATGAAGACCATGGTGGATGGTTTCATGCGGTAGGACACGGGGATGGAGATGAGCCTGCCCAGGGTGATGAAGGCCCAGAAGAGGCTGGGCAGGTACCCAGCCACCTTGTGCACCACGGCCAGGGGCTCCTCCACGGCGTAGCTGTACACAAAGCCCGAGTACTCTCCCTGCAGGGACACAAAAACCCTCTGTCACAGCCAGGGCGGGAGTTTAACCCGCCCCTCGCTTCTTCACGGCCGGGGAGCCACGAAGGAACCCGTTCCCGAGGCTTTGCAGCTCCCACCAGAAGCAGAACACGCGGCTAAACCTCAGTCCAGACTTAGCAGCGATGCCAGGTAAAAGGGTTTGGGCTGTTCCAAGTGGTCAGGGAGGAGGAAACCCCAGAGCTTTGCTCAGACAATGCCCCCCTGCCAGCTGAACTCACCACAATCCCATCAGTCATGAAGAGAACCAGAGCCCCGGTGACGTGGACTGCGAAGTAGGTGTAAGAAGCCCCCCTGAAGTTTCTGCTCTGGCAGCAGCTCAATAAGTCATCGTGACCTGGTGAAAAACAATGCAAGACAAACTTAGCTGGGGGGTAGGAGGGGTGAGCAGTTGCCAGCCCTCAGTGGGGATTTGTTTTGTGCCCAGATTTATGGAGGACTGTGGATGTGGGGCACTGCTCACCTGGGCTGGCACCACCTCACCTTTACCCACCTCTAAGCTTTGGGTGCTGCCCAAAAATCCTGGCTCTCCAGGGAACCTGCCACCCCCTCTTACTGTAGCTGCTGGTGCTCCTCTTCCCCCTCAGGGACCCCACATTGCTGGCCCTGCTCTTACAGGCAATAAATAAATTCCCTGAAATTCCCTTTTACTGCTCAGGTAAAGCCAGCTCTCCAGAAACAACACTGAACACTCCCCTGACAGCCCTAAGCCATGTTTACTTCCGAGATTCACAATTTAACCAAGGAATTTACTTTGATATGTTTCTCCTGGGTAAGCAAAGAACAATGTCACCATTGTCCCCAAAACAGGGTGTAGTCACAAGCTCAAGAGCAAACTATTGCTGGATTTAACTTTCCCCCTCAAACAAGGGCACTGGCCTTATTCCTTTCCCACCAAATTGAGTGCCTGCAGCACAATGGCCATTTTTAAATTGAGCAGCCAGTGAGAAACCCGACCCAAAACCAGAGGGAACCAAGGGGCACAACCTTCACCTGTGTTTAAATCAAGCCCAGGGTTAGTTTTAGGAGAAATCCAGGCTGGAGTCCTGATCAGGATTAGGACTCAAATCTCTGTCCAGGGGTTCCATCTAATTTGAGGGTAATTGGCCACCAAATGGGTTGTTTGGATTGCCTGAGTGCTCCTGGATTGGGTTCATGTGCACCCTTTGGAAAGTCTCCTCCTCAGACAATAGCGCTGGAACTCGCTCCTTAAACCCAGACATGCTCAGGACACGGCTGTTCCTCCCCCCAAAAAAAAGCTGCAGGAGCAGCTCCAGCTCACCTCCAGCTGCCTGGGGTCTCTGCCCGGGGGTGGAGAGCTCATCCTTGTCCACGGGCCGCGTCTCCATGGCCAGTTCATCCGCTGACAGCAGGGGGTGGCTGCTGCCGTTGAAACACGGGACCATCCTCTCCTTGTAGAGCAGGAAGAACACAGCGATGGGCACGGGCAGCTGGGGGGGGGCACAGAGGGGCAGGTGAGCACAGCAAGCTGGGCAGAAACAAAGGAGGTGCCTGAATCGCCCTCCAAGACCAAAAACAGAGCCTGAGAGCAGGCTTTGGAAAGCTTTAAATGCTTTGTACTCTATCCACACCGTTCACACTCTGCTGAAAAGTCTGTAGCAAGTGTGAAACAAATGGCATGAAACACTTTTGGTTATTTATTCTATGCAGTGATGTAATAACAGGTAATTTCTGGGCAGGGTTTCACGAATCGGACTGGTGATCCAGCTGGTACAGGAATGGGAGGTGAGGGCAAGGAGCCACTGGGGGAGGGATGGAGCTTGTTGGGAGACAGCAGACAGGGGGAAAAACAAAGCAAGTTGAGAGAAAAGTCTCCTGATCTGCTGGGGCATCTCCAGCCAGTCCCTGTGGGATGGGAACCATTCACCTGGGACTGGGGACAGGGACACTGGAACAGAAGTTCAATACAAACCTCATGAAGCACCAAAACGTTCCAGGGTCCAACATTTGGCCAGTTCTGCCCAAAGACTAAAACAATAGAGCAGCTTTTGCCTGGGCAAAGTTTTAATGGGAGACCTTCTGTGGTTGGAATTCTCTGGGAGGGAAGAGCAAGCTGCTCCAAGACACATCCCCAGCCATTAGCAGAGGTTGCTCAGCACCTCCTAAGAGATGAGCTCGTGGTTCCCAGGCCAACAGTGACAGCACAGCTACAGCAGAGCGACTCCAAACAGCCCCCTAGCTCAGCCTCTGGACCAGGAGGGAGCTGGGAATCAGGAGCAGGGAACCTCCAGCCACTGCTGCTGCTGCTGCCTGAGAGCCCCCTGTGCATCCAGGGATGCTCCCAGCACAGGACAGTCCCACTCCCTGCAGTCCCAGCCCACCATTCCCTTCCTGCCTGGTGCCAACACCCACGGGGACCCTGGGCTTGTACCTGCCCTCTGGATCCACCAGGCAGCAGCCACAGCATCCCATTCCCTGGCACTCTGCTCCCAGGGGATGAGCCTGCTCCTTGCACACTCCCACGACTCGGTGGTGCCTCCAAGCCCAGAGGGAATTGCTCTTTTTTAATTTTTTTTTCTTTCTCTTTTTTTGGTGAGAAAGCAGAGGGAAGCACAGGGAGCTGTCCTGCCCCTCTCACCAGCCCTCCCAGCACAACCCAGCCGTGTTTACTCCGCCACAAGCCGGGGGAGAAAGCCAGGAAATCCTAAGTGACAGCTCATTCCCTTGTTTTCCCCATGTCTGTGAGCAAGTGTGAGCTCCAGCTCCAAATTTCCTGCCTTTTGTTGGCTCGTGGCATGATTTAAATGTATGGAGAATTCCCCCCCTCCATAAACACACACACACACACCCCACCCCTCCTCTCTCGCCCTCAATTCATTTATGAGCCTTCATTGTTCTGGGAACAATGGGAATAGGAACAGTTAGTTCGGTCCCATGGAAGAAAAACGCATTTGCCTGATAGTTCTGATCCTTCCGGAGGTCAGGACCAGATTTTATTCTTCTAAATTGCAGATTTTGCAAAAAAAAAAAATAAATTATACCCACACAGAGGGACTGGCCATGCAGATAACGGCCCTGGGCACCTCCAGCCTTAAGGAGCACTTGGTGTCTCCACAGAAAAGGGCCCCAGTTTGGGAATCCTCAGCTCCCAAAGTGGAGGTGCATCCCTACTCTCCCACACCCTCATCTCCAGGGCAAGCAGCTCCCTTTTGCTTCGGAGCTCCCAAAACCCCCAAACCCTTCAGGGAGCCCAAACAGCGAGGAAAAAAAAGGAGATGAGCCCCAGCACAACCCCCAAAACAAGCACAGTGGTCCCCAAAGCACCCCCCTGAGGAGTCCACAGTGTCCCACACCACCCCCAGCCCCACCAAGCTGCACAGCCCAGTCCCATCTCCCACCAACCCCCCCTCCTGAGCAGGCATTTCCTCAAGGACTCTCTTCCCAGGCTAACTTTGCTGCTTTCCTGCCTTTTCCAGCAGGTTTATATTTGTTGTTTTTTTTTTCCAAGGGGCAAGAGGGGCACCTGAGCATCCCACCAGGAGCCTGAGGACCAACCAGGCAGCAGGAGGCCGAATCCCTGGACCCAACACTCCAGGCTCCACTTGCCAAATTCCCAGGGTTTTTCCTTCCCCTGGCAGCCTTCAACCACCGTCATGAGCTCAACAAGTCGCTGCATCCCACAGACAATGTGGGGATAATCCAGCTCCTTCCCTCCAGCTGCTATTTCGGGCTCTCCCCCCCCACCAGGAACACGGGATCATTCCCTGCTATTGTATCCAGGCTACTTTTGAGCAAGCTAAGCACAATGGAGTGTCCCACACTTCCCCTGGGAAACCACCTTCCGGACAAACACATCCCTCTCCGAGGAATGTTTTCCTGATTTCCAGCCCCTTGGAACGATGCTGGATGATGACATTTCCTTTTCTGTGGGAAAAAAAACCTGAATTTTAAAACTTGGGTTTTTTTTTGTTCCAAATCTGGGATGAAAAGGCAAAAATTTTTCCTCTCAGAATGATTTTGGCCGGGAGTCATCCAAGCGCTTTGTTTTGATTGTGTTGAGCTGCTTAATTTTACTAAAGCAAAGCCATTTTTGCTTCAGTAACATCGACACAGCTCCTCTGTCAGCTCTGCACATCACACACTTGGTGTGCCAGAGTCAAATTGAGACGTTTCCACTTTAAACAAAAAAAACAAAAAAGGCAAGAACTCGAAATGAATCATTCCGGCTTGTGTCTTGTCAGAATACACACACAGCCCTGCGAAAACTGGGATGGAAATGTGGGGTTTTGAGCAATTTTATAGCAAGACTTGCTGGTCCTGGTTTCCATTTTCTGCGGGTTTCCTGATTTCATCCACGCCCCCCATTGCCATCATCTCCCCCCTGACATTTAGACCTTAAAGGGTCAGCAGTTTTGGAGCTCGGCACCTCCAGCGTGCTGGGTTGGTTTAAACGAGGAATAAAGTCAGTTCCCTCGATGGGGATTTGGGAAAGGCAGCAATAACAGCTTGGCTCTGGCAGGGGGACACACTCCAGAGCTGTGCACAGCCAGCTCCCCCCCTCTATTCATGTTTGCATCAACCCTCATCCCAAAACCCACTGGTCTCCAGCCCCCCAGACTCCCTGCCATCTTCCTGGTATTCCTGCAGCGGGCAGGAATCCTGCACTCAGTGTGGGCACACACATTCAAACCACCCACACAAGCAAATGGCTCTGGAGCACGAAGTGATGCACAAGCCCAGCTCCCAACCTGCTGGGCACAGCCTGTGGTCCCATCCTGCCCCAAAATGTCCACAGGACGCTGCTGGGAACAGAGGGGGGCTCTGGCAGCCACCATCAGTGCTCCCAATCTCAGCCCCACTGTGGGGCTCGAAGCAGGTATTAAACTGTGCCTCAAAACGAAATTAGGCTGCTCAGAACTGACTGGCAAAGGAGATAAGGCTCGGGTGTAATTAAAAGCACATTTCCCATGGCATAGGCAGAGCTGCAGGTAATTAAAGCTGCTTCTCCTCCCAGGCAGAGCATTCTTTTGCTACTTCTGCACAGCAGCTCATCACAGCCCCTGCCCAGCTCCTTCACCTGCCTGCTCTCCTCCCCTCAGGGAGCTGGGACAGCCCCTGGATGAGCTGCGCTGGGGTAAGTTTTAGTTACAACTCCCAGAAGTGGAAGGGGCACCAGCTCAGCAGTCCCTGCCCTGGCAGATCTTTATAATCAGAGAACAGAGCACGTTATGGGCAGGGCTCCAGGGGCTGGGCTCTGCCCTGCCCACGGGGCACCCCAGGACCCTTTACCCTAGGGGTTCCCACCCAGGGACCATAACCAGGCCTGGCATCAGCCCCAGCACGAGCAGCACCGCTTGGCAGGGCTGATGATCCCTGCAACAACACACACTGTGCTCTTATCACTCCACATCTACATGGACCACTAGACACGGGCTGGAAGGGCTCCTGCTGCCAGGGGAGGGACAGCAGCAGCTCTGCTGCAGAGGGACTGGAGATGGGCACCACATGGCCACAGCCCTGCCAGGCTGTGCAAGGTTTCACCCTGCTGGGATTTGGTATTAACCAGAGGTAAGGAACAAAGGCCAGGCTGGATGGGGGCCCTGGGCACACCTGGTGCAGTGAATGGCATCCCTGCCCACGGCAGGGGGTGGAAAGAGATGATCTTTAGGTCCTTCCAACCCAAATTATGCTGTGATTCTACTCTGGGATTCTCAAAGAGAGCCCACGAGCTACAGGCAGGAGCAGCTTGCTGGGGGTCCCCTCTGGGGGAAGAGGATGGGCACTAAACCCCATCTCCCTCTGAAAGGGAGGACCCCAGGGCTTCTACATCTGCTGTGATACACCAGCAAACACAATAAATAGGCAGAGACACCCTGATCCAGCTCTCAGTTCGCTGATGGGCACTTTGGTGTGAATATCTTGGCAAACCCCCTCCTGACACATCGTCCCCACACCACTGAGCTCCTCCCAGCTGACTGGGGAGGAAGGCCCTGTGGCTCTGAGTGCAGTTTGCTGGTCTGACTCCTGCTCAGGGGATGCTGGGGGTACAAACTGCTCCCAGAGGGCTCAGACCTCACCCTGCAGGGTGGTACCTGCCCCCTAATCCTGCCTGACGGCGCAGTGAGTGCTGGTTCCGCATCACAGAGCCCTGCCCTGATGGAACCACTGGGTGCTTGGCAAGGCATGCACCTTTTCTGTGCACCAGCACAACCATCCTCGTGCCTCTCCCCACCCCCGGGACAGGCACCAGCACCCCCCAAACGCTACAGCCTCCTGCAAATCCGAGGAGCAGGGACATTCCCAAGCAACATCCCGGGCCATTCCGGCCACTTACATTGATGAGAGCCATGATCCAGAAGGCGTAGGAGACACGGGTCACCACCATGCCCTTCATGGGCAGGTCGTAGTGGGACAGGTTGCCCGGGTGATGTGGCACCAGGGACTTTCGGATGTGAGGGAGGTTGCTGGAGGCGTTGGCCGTGGAGTTGGACAGGATGCAGTTGGTGTCTGACAGGAAGGGGTCGGCTATGAGGGGGCTCAGCAGGGCCCCAAAGCCCACGAAGAAGTGAAGGGCCTGCAGGAGAGGAGACACATAGGTGGAAGAGCGGGATCGCTGCTCTGCAGGGAGGTGGCAGAGCCCCTCAACTCCTCTCCCTCCGAGGAGGAAGCACAGCCCCTGAGCAGACCCAGACTCCACACCCACCTGCAGGAAGATGGCAGAGTCCTTCTGGTAGATCTTCACCAGCTGCATGTTGGAGATGGTGTCGATGCACCCCATGGCCAGTCCTGCCACAGCCATGACCACAGCCAGGACCACCACATTGTGGCACAGGGGGATGATGGCAAAGACCAGGGAGATGGCCAGGGATGAGGCGAAGAGTGCAAACAAGGACTGAGCCAACCTGAGGGCGGCAAAGAGGAAAGACAGGACAGAATTACCACGAGAGCAGCACCCACACCACACCTGCCCCCAGCTCCAGGGCAGGAGAAGCATCCACAGGCTATTCAGTGCAGCTCCAGCACATGCTCTTCTGAAGAGAGAAGGGAAAATACCACCCAGCCTTCACCCCAATGCCCCCACATCACCAGCAGAGCCAGCCCTGGGCACTGCCACCTCCTGCGTGGAGGGTGATCCCCCAAAGAGGCAGATCTTCCCCCCAGCTTTTTGAGTAACCATCCCTCCAAACCCACAGGGTGTGTGTTTCAAGGCAGAACAATCACCTCCCCTTGCTAACTGGGCAGATCTGGGGATGTAAAGGGATGTGGGTACGGGCAGGCGAGGCCACATCGTGACTCTTGAGCAGCTCTGGGGCATTTCTCTCTCCTGTATCACACCAGAGCTGCTGGCACCCACACCACTGTGTCATCCCAGCCCGTGCTGTCCTGCTCACAGGGATCACAGGGAAGCCACTGCAGCTCCCTCTCCGTGCCCTGTGCCACCTCCGCTCTGGCAGCATCACCTCTCCTCCCGGCACGACAAGGTGGGATTGAGCACAGCAGCCACTGCCCAGCCCACACTGTCCCTCAGAGGAGCCCCAGGGCTGTGCGTGGTGGGGACAAGGCTGGTGTGTCCCCTCCCAGGAGCAGCGGCTGCTCTGGGTGAGAGCCGGGGGAGCCAGAGAGCAGCGCTGGCACCGCACGGCCCCGGGGCTGCCAAGTGGGAAGGCAGGAAGGAAGGAAGGAAGGAAACAGGGACCAGACAGCACTGGAACCAGCAGAGGGATGGGACTGTGAAGGCACAGCAGACAGGGAACAGCACAGGCAGGTCCTCATCCCACCCCGGCTTCCCAGACCCCTGGGAGAAGCCCGGAGCGATGAGTTGGTAATTAGCAATAATTAAGGTCTGATGGGTATTGTGGGTCTGTGCACAGCAAAGGGCTCACAGGTACCCCCCCAGCAAGGAGAACACCCACATCTCTGCTCACACCCTGCCAGCCAGGCAGGAGAAGGCGATGGGGAGGCAGAGGCTGGCAGCACAGCTGGGCACCTCCGTGCCACCCCTCCCGCCCTGCCTGCTGGTCCAGAACGGCCTGGCCTCGGGCACGTCACTGTGTTTCTGCATGGCCCTCATCCACCTGCAGCCCCAGAGGGACTCAGCCCTCCACCCTCCCCGTCCTGCTTACGCTGCACTCCCACAGCACCGCGGGGGACACGGGCCAAGGGCACCTCTCCCGTGTTCTGCTGCCCCGTGGCACCAACCTGGCCCTGCTCACATGGCCCAGCCCAGCCTGGCTCACCTGCCAGCCAGCCCATGCTGGGGCAGACAGCGTTTCACCAGGCTGTAAGTGCTGGTGGGTCTCTGATGGCAAAGCGGGGAGCCAGCGTGGGATTCCTGGGGGAGGGCGGGAGCCAGGCGGGATGTGAGATGTGCACAGTCACGGCAGCAAGAGCAGCTAACAAATGAGAGACAGGCAGCCTCGGGCCTGGAGAGATGAGGCAGCTCTCTCCAGGGTACAGCAGGAGGGAGAGAGGCAGAGGTACCAGCAGCTGGTGCATCCGAGGCCGGGAGTGACGGGGAAAGGCACACGAGACATCCCCAAAATGCCTCTTCTCTTCCCTCCTGCAGCCCCAGCGGAGCCACCACAGCACTGCCTGTGCTGGGCTGGGGAGCATCTTCATCACTGGAGAGAGGCCTCATTGTGGATGATGGTATGGCCCTAAAAAGCACTAAAAATATCACCTCGGTTTGCCCCAGTGGGTAAAAATTCCTGCCTCCAGCCCTAAGTTAAAAACGCAGTTGTGCCCCTCTGCAAACACCAGCAGGGTGTACACAGCCCTGCTGCCCCTTCCCTGGCTCTGCCATTAGTGGGGGAGCAAGAAATTGCTGCCAGATGCCAAAGATGTAGCTGCAGGACACAGCTCAGCACCCAGGGAGGCACTGAACAACTGTCTGAGGGATTTCTTTAGAAACAACCCCCTCTGAAAGCACCTTAAATGAGGAACTCCAAGACTTTCAGAGCACCTCGTGTCTCGATGCTGCAAAAGCAATCCACCCCTCCAAAGGGCTTGAAAAGCAGCCCTGATTGTCGTGCCACAGTCTGGTCTCTGGCACCTCTGTGTCCCCATCATTACCCAGTGCCCGTGCCCAGGGCAGACTCCACATCAGCAGAGTCTTGGAATGCCACAGACTGTTTCAGGATCACCCAGAGCACGTCCTGGCTCCATCACAGGGCCTGAGGGAAGGTCTGCAGCTGCCCCTGAGAGGTTTAGGTTGATCTCCATAGGATTAGGATGGTCAGTTCTACAGTCAATCCTGCAGCCACAGCCAGCAACGCTTCCCCTCTCCTTCCCTGGGTGTTCCCACTGCAGCAGGTTCCCTTCAACTTCAGGCACATTTTCCCTGCCCCCAGGGAGCATTTTCTAAGCCACTCACATCAAGAAGAAAAATGATAATCAGGCTAACTCAGACTTGCAAAACTGATCATTAAAACCCCAAAGCCCTAAGGGGACAAGGTGAGGACATGGAGGAGGCAGGGATTAGCCCACATCAGCCTTCATCATCCCACATCCCCCTGTCTCCAGAGGAAGCACAGCCAGGCTCAGGGAGCATTGCCTGACATGCTCAAGTCACTGTGCTGCTCCCTCAGCAACAAAAGGTTTTCCTTTGCAGGGAGAAGTGTTTTGTGTGCACCCAAGTATTCAGCAGGACACAAAAATGCAGTTTCTGAATAAAACCCAACAAACTGGGGCTCAGGAGCTCAGTTATTCAGGTGCTCCTGCCATCAGTGCGTGTGGCACAGCAGCACAGGGGGAGCATGATTTTAACTTCTCCAAGCAGGCCCAAAATACAACAAAATGGGAAAGGAGAGTGGGAAGCAAGAGGGAGAGTGGCAGGGGATGCAGGTGAACAGAGCTCCCCCCTGGAGCTTGCAGTGCCAGGGCTCTCACTCCACCTCAACCCCAACCCCCCTCGTGCAAACAGCCTGGGAAAATCCGTATTTTCTGAAGCAGAGCTTGGTCACAAACAGCCCAGCAAACACCCAGGGAGGTGTTAGCAGAGAGCAGCAGCCTGCTGTGAACCTGAGGGTGAGCTTAAACGACGCACCTTGAAGTCACATCCTGCTCCCCCCCAGCCCTGACTCTGCACCCCCCAAACCCAGGAGTCCAGCAGAGAGCAAAAACATCCTTTTTACACCCCTCGGGGAACCTCACAATGGCAAACTTTTTTCTTCTTCCTTAAAAATCTCACATGAGAGGGAATTCTGGAGCTGGCTCTGACTGAAGGGGTTCGTGCCATCGTTATGCTCCATCCTCCCAGTGCCAGGAGCAGGGACCACAGCCCAGCACTCAGCACCTTCTCTGCTCAGAGGAACCAAACTTTATTTAGGTCCCACCAGCCACAGAATGCAGTGACAACAACACTGCTGTCCCTCCCCAGCCCATCACTCAGGCCAATACATATTTTAAGCAAAAAGCCAAGCCTGTGTTCCTCAGGCACCGGGAATCACACCCAGCTTGCAGCCAGCCTTGGCTCGCTGCTCACAGGCAGGCAACGCTTGGGATGCTCTAGAGCAGCTCTCCATCTCCTAACTGGAAAGGATGACCTGTCCAGTGCTCCTCCCTGCCTGGCACCAGTGCCGGCACAATTTGATTTATAAACCCACAGCGGGGCCCAGCAGTAGAAACCCTCATCACAGCGACAGCTCAATCCATCCATCCCTGAGGAGGGGACGATACTGGAGCTCCTGGAGCCTGAACAGTTAATATTCCCAGCCAAACCCACACGTTTGTACCCTGGCAGGCTGTGAGTAACCCCCCACAACGCTCACAAGCACAAGTATCTGAAACGTTCCCTCCTGCCTGGCAGGGCTGTCAGTCCCCAGCCGGGATTCACAGGCACTTCACAAAACCCATGTGCCCCAAACACATCCCGGTTCAGCAGCAAAACACGCTCCTTCCCCCTCTGCAGCTGCAGAGTTAAAAGTTTGGGAGTCTCCAAGCACAAAATCCCCAGTGAATCTGCGTACCCGGAGCTTTGGTAGGAGCTGACAGCAGGAAACAATTCTGCATTTTCCTTCCCTGCTCCTTCAAACATATGCGAGGCAGCCCGGGGGCTGGCAAAGGCTCTGCCTGCTGACCCAGCAGTCTCAGATCCATGTCAGACCCAGAGCGAGGTTCCCACGTGCTGTTCCCATCCCCGCGCACCCCACGGAGCAGCTCCTGCCTCCCCACGAAGCCCTTGGGCTCCGCCAGCCAGGACAGCTCGGCGTCCCACGATGGCAATTTACAGGTGCTCGATTTACACACACGCGGAGCTGACACATTACATCACCACCCCGAGAATCAGCGACAATGTAAATAATCAGCTGATTCTCACAACTGTCACCAAGCCTCAAATCAAACGCCTCTCTGGCAATCTTTAGGGCTGAGCCATCGCGGGTTATTTATTTTAAACACATCCTGGACGGGAGGCTCGGTGCAAGCCCGTGGTTGGCTGTGCCCGGGTGTCTCCCCAGCCCCTCAAATCCCCTGCTCGCCCCCCTACTCACATCCCACCACGTGTTTGCCCAAACTCCCGGGAAGCGCGACAATGCCTCGGTTTCTGACATCAAGGTTATTCAAACACGCTCCTAAAAATATTCTTTTTGGGGGGGGTGTTAAACAATCAAGGCTGAGGAGAACGCCCTCCCGGGAAGTTCTGGCTGGAAGTTCACACTAAGGCTATCGCTGCGCTGAGCTCCGGGAACCGGCAGTTCCTCCATCCACGGGGATGGAACCACACCAGGAGCAGAGCGGCACCCTCGGGAGCGGCTCCCGCCGGGAATCCCCCTCCCCGCCGAGCGCTCGGGCCGGGGGGCTGCGGACCCTCCGCGACGCCCGCGGTCGCTCCACTCGGGAAGGGTTTTCCCACGCTGCATCCCGGAAAAACCCGGCGGGAGGGAGGCGAATCCCGGGAAGGGGGAGCTGGAGATGCCCGCCCCCGACCCGGGGTAAGGAAGAGGAGGGGGGGTGGAGGTCTGTGCGGAGCCGATTCCCCCCTTCCCCCGCGGGAGGTGCGCTGAGTTTGCCAGGCGCTTACGTCCTCTTGAAGACCCCTCCGAGGCAGCTGCCGAGCAGGAGGCAGAACTGCTGGGAGAAGAAGACCCAGGTGATCTGGGAGAGGGAGCTCTGGGTCTGGCAGCGCAGGTCCAGCAGCGTGGGCCCCAGGAAGGCGATGCAGAGGCCGAAGCTGAAGAAGACGCTCCAGTAGGTGAGGGTGGGCTGCAGGTTCCTCCGGAACCGCGCCGACACCCGCTCGTCCCACCACATGGTGGGCGGCGGCGCGGGGCGGCCGCGGTGATGGGATCCGGCGCTGAGCTCCGGCCCCGCCGCCGCCCCGCTCCCGAGCCCGGCCCCGCTGCCGAGCCCGGCCCCGCTCCTCCTTTGCGGGATGTGGCTCCCGAGCCCGCCGCGCCGGCCGCTGGCTCCGCCTCCGGGGCCGGGCGGAGAGGGGCCCCTCTCCATCCCCCGCCACCCCCGGAGCCGCCCCGGAGCATCCCTCGGGGGCTGGAAGGATCCCGAGCATCGCGTGTCCCCCCCTCCCTCCTCCTCCTCCTCCTCGTCCTCCTCTTCCACCTCCTCCCTCTCCTCTCTCCCAGTTCCCGCATCATCTTCCCAAAAGTGGGGCGAGCCCTCTGCGTGCTCCACGCACCCCGCGGTATTCAACTACAAGGAGCAGAGCACGGCCAAGCTCTGTTTTAAATGAAAGCTCTAAAGGAAATCCAGAAAACCCCCTTTTTTGTCCTTTTTTTTTTTTTTTTTCCCTGCTGCCGACCGTCCCTGCGGTCTCCCGCGCCCATAAATAGGTGCCACCCTCCCAGACAAACGCAATTAAAGTTGCCCCTTCCCTGATAAGAGGCACAGGATGGCTCGGGGCTGGGGGGGAGGGCGCGGGTTTTAAAGCCGGAGCAGTCGGTGCTTACGCAAAAGGTCTTCTCTAGAGGATGGGTTTATAAATATTTCACCTACTTTAGCTAGGAAAGACTGGCAATTTTTAGAACACTCTTTCCAGGCAAAAGCAGAATCGATGGAGCTCAGCCATGATGGAGGGCTGGCTCCAGGTCCCTTCCTGGGCACAGGTACTCACCCATCCTGTGACCCGGCCCTCAGGAATGCTGCTCCAGGGCTGCAGGTGCTCATTTCCACCTGGCCGTAGCTTAATGTTTAGCTAATCCAAATTGCATCCAAGTCCTTGCTCTTCCATGCCCACGGAATCCACTGGAGTCTTCCCAAGAGTGAGGAAGTGTCCCCTTCCACCACCACAGTGAGCCAAGTGACTGTGGGTAGCAGTGGGGCAAGGGGGTGGTTGCATCCCCACCCTCCCAACTGCCCCAAACTCAGAACTCCTCGGGCTGCTCAGCACCTGCACCTGAAGCCATTAAACAATCAGAGAAGCAGCTGAGCTGCCTGGAGGGCTGGAGCAATGTCCTTGTCCTGTTTGACTGATGGGAAAACCCAGGGCCGGGAAGGAATGAAGCGCTTTGCTCAGGGACAGGGAGTGAGTCAACAGCGAGGGCGGAAATTGGGTTTTATCATTTTACATGATAAACCACCTTCCTAAACAGCCTGGATGGCAGGGTGGAGGGGAGAGGGAGGCACAGCCTGGAAGCCACAGCCTCAGGCTCTCCCTGCCAGGCAAGAACTAGATTTGAGAGGCCACACTGCTGCAAAGTGGCTCAATTCCCCGTCCACAAGCAGAGGATGAGGGAGAAAGGATTGTGACAATAAAGGCCTTCCCATCAAAACACTTCTGGGAAAGTCATCTCCTGACCTGTACAGAAAGTCATCTGTACATCTCCTTGTTCATGGAGCCGACTTAACCTGATCCTTGTCTTCCACACACCAGGTGCTCTACCCCCCAAAAAAGGTTGACCTGTTGTTCCCTGGGTCCACATTCTTGATCTTGATCTCGGTTCTCCCTTTACTAGGCAGGGAGCTGGGAGACCTGCACTCCCCTCCTGGCTTCCACTGCTGCATCCCCATCACTGGGGAGCATCAGCTCCCTGGGGCTTGAATTCCCAACTATAAAATGGCTGAGCAAGGCTTTCCCCATCTTTGCAGGCTCCCTGCATCCTCCTCTCCCAGATCAAAAGGCAGCATCCAGGCACCAGAGCTGGCAGATACTGGCACAACCCCTTCCCCAGCTCCAACAACTGACCTGAATGCCAGAACAGTTGCTTCCAGGAATATCAGGCCCTTTTCTCAGGGATAACATAAACCATGCAAGGTATGCTTGCAAATAAGAACCGGGGCGTAGGTGGGTTAGTCAGCACAGGAACGCACAGATCCTTTCTGGTTCCACACTCTGAGATCCAGATCCTGGGAGGGCGGCTCATAAAAATGCAAGCCACAGGACCATGAGTATATGCAACACCCGAATTAGCTTCACCAGGAGGCACTTTCGGCTGTTTTCCAAACTGAGCTCAATGTTGTACTTGCACTGAATTAAACACCCACAGCTTTGCACTTGCTGCAAACTGCAAAGCGAAACCATGAATGAAGGAAGAGCAGAGCAGCAGGGCTGCAGCCAGCAGTGTGCTCCTGAACATCCAACAGGAGTCTGGGGAACGCCTTCCCGTACCCTCCAGTGTCCCTGGGGCAGCAAGAGGCACAGCAGGGACTTTTCACACTGCGCCAGTTAATTTTTTCAGCTCCTCTGTCGTGATCAGTCCTGCTTTTGCAGTGACTACAGGGCTTCGACCCAGATTTGCTCAGAGCTGCTGTTGTGCTGTTGGCATCGCTTCTCTTTGCCCAGTCTTCAACACAATCCAACTCTCGCTGTAGGTTTTCTAAGGGTTTCCTTGGGGTGGAACCAGCTGAGACCCCACAGCTGGGCTTGGGACAGCGGGTGCCAGGGGACAGGCTCCCCCAGGGCTTTTGCTGGTGTTGGCAGCTTGGCCAAGGGCCTGGGGCTGAGAGATTGCTCAGGTTTTCCCTGTCCTTCTTTTGCCAAAGACCACAAAGGGTCTTTGCTTTCTGACACCCTCAGAAACCACAAGAGTCATCCCAGTGGGATGGGTCCAAGAGCTACGTGTACGTTTGGAGATGGGAACTTCTGATGCATCCAAAAAAACCCAGCAGCGAGCCAAGCTTGAGCAGATAAGAAAATAACTCTGAATCACTGAACCTTCCTGAGAGAGGACAGGATGCTTCTTACAACACCAGGTAAACTTCCCCACAGGATGAGTCAAATCCTTGTTGGCTGCCTGAGAGGTGCTCAGCAACCCGAATGGGCACACGAGAGGGGTGTTCACCTCGTGTACTTCGGGGTCAAGAGTTTCGAAACACACAGTGTCATTTGGAAAGCCTGGCTCCACTTCTAGGTCAAACATTAGCCTGAAATCTTGGCCCAGCTCTTACAGATCTTGAAACACTTGTCTGAAAGGAGGAAGTGCTCACCTGCAGGTTTTCCTGGCGCCCAACTGGAGCAGATCACACGCCCACCATGGCTGACCTGGACACATCCAAACACCCTCTCCCTCAAAAAACAAGCCCTGTGCTTCCTGCTTGAGGCCACCAAAACCACGGCCCAGGGGGGTGGCTGCAAGGGAACAGCCAGGCTGAGCCTCCCCCAAAATGTACCAGGAATGCGATGACACACAGATAATCTCGTGGAGGGCAGCGGGTATCACCCCAGCTTCGTGGGGCTGGGTGACCCAGGGAGCAACCAGTGACAGGACTGGAGCATCCTGGCGAGGCAGGAGGACTCCCTAAGGGAATACTTGGGCTGTTTGGGCAGCTGGGAATGTCTGGAAGCCAGGAGGGGGATGTGGGCTGGGGATGCTGGGCAGCATTCCCCCGGATGCAGCAGGGGCAGCTGCGAGGCTGGAGGAATGAGGGCAGCAGATGGAGGAACTGGTTTGGCAAACAGGTTGTTAGTGGGGACCCGCCCACACCAGCCCCAGAACGTGACTCAGGCTGGGAGTGCTGGAGCTGCAGCCCAAGGAGGGGCTGAAGGGCACTGTCCCCTTCCCTGAACCAGCCCATCAGCCACGAGCTCACACCATGTCCTGGTCCCAAAGATCCCACAGGACCCCTCCTGCCCCAGCTCTGCCTCTTCCCACATTCCCAGGACATTGGTGGCTGGAGATTCTCTCCAGCACTGACAGGCCAGGGAGCAGGAATATGCAAAGGGGACAGTGGAGCTGAATAACTCTGATCCCAGGGGGATTTTAGCTGCTGGATCTGGGGGGAAAAAAGGGCTCCCCTGTGCCTTCCCCATCTCTGCCCTCTGGCTGGTTTGCCAGCCTGGGCTGGGCTCATCAGCCTTGGGCTTTATTTGCCCGATAGGCTTATGGCAATATTTATTTAGGGCCTCAGGAGCCACGCAAGGCACCACAGAAACATTTTCCTATTACGCACAAGTCTCCCAGGCCTTGGATCCCAGCCCCCTGCAAAGGGCAGGTGCCGAGCAAACTCCTTTTGTGCTCTTTGGGAGTTTCCTGCACCCAGCCAAAAAGTGCCCTGGTAGCAGGAAAGGCGTCCTGGAGCCGCAGGGAAGGCTGTGGGAATGAGCCTGTAGGAAGGGGCAAAGGTGGCATGGCATGGAATGGCATGGAATGGCATGGAATGGCATGGAATGGAATGGAATGGAATGGCACAGCTGCCTTCCCTGAACAGCCAACACGGAGCAGCTCACCCTGCCAAGGGACCTGCACCTTCACTCCCACTCCCTGAAACTCAAAACCAAAGCAGGTCCTTCTCCTACCAAAAAAAAAGAAAAAAAAAAAAAGAGAAAAATTATATCCTGTGCAAACCCATCCCATATTCCATAAAGTTTATTGTCCAATCTCGGCTTTGGGGCGCTCACAACACAACTGTAATTAATATCAGCCTTTTGGCAATAAAATGAGCCACAAAATAGTCCATGTCACACCTGACATACAAAAATTGAAATATTCCTATAAAACATGGAGACACCAGGTTGGTAGATGGATACAATCTTTTATTTTTTTTTTTCCTTTGTGCTTTTCCATTTATTCCAGAAACACTTCCTATTAAAAAAAAAAAAAAAAATCGTCGCTCCTTTTGGAATAAATCTTTAAAACCATTTCTTTTAAAATGCATCCTTCGCCTGTACAACACAAGTTAAATATATTACTGGTCTTCTGCAAATGAATCACACCAGAGGACATTCACAGTTTGTGTATCCTGGCCACTTGCATCCGTTTTTCCTGCTGCAGGGCAAGCTCGACGCTGGGGATGGAGGAAGGCAATGAAGAAGCCAGAAAGTGGCTTTCAGAAGTGTTTGTGCCCAGACCTTGCTCGCAGTGGGGGGCTCAGGGACATCCAAAATCAGCTCTTAACAAGACCTGAGAGCACAGAGACAGGGCAGATGTGCAGCACAGCTGGGGCAGCACCATCAGGCAGAGCCAGAGCTTTTGGCAGGTGAGATCAGGTGAAAAAAAAACCCAAAGAAAACATTGGAGAACCTTGAGAAAATGCCCCTTTAATTAGGTGGTTGGTTGTTGTTTTTTTTTTCCCTCGTGTGTAAGGGAGAGAGGGGGAAAAAAAAAAGGCATTTATTTAGTCCTTAGTCTCCAAGACACAATGTGGTTTTGTTGTTTAAAATCTTTACTTAGATCTGGCAAAGGGTTGGGCCAGGAAAGGTGGGTGCACGTGGGAATGGAGAGATGAAAATGAGATGAAACAGCTCTGCCTCCAAGTGCTGTTGTTGTCCCAAACACAGACCTGGCTTTCCACATCACTTTACTTGTATATTCCTTTTCGCAGCCGTGAGCTGAAGAGCTGAGAGAACACAGCCTTTCCTGAGGGCACAGCCAAAACTCCCGTTTCCCACCAGAATTGGTTAAAAAAACCCCATCACCACCAACAAAAAAACTCGAAATGTGTGGAAGACAAAGCAACAGTTTCCTTTTGTCAGGGCTCCCCATCTGCCAGGAGCGGCAGCTGCTCCACAAAGCAGCGCATGGGAGAATCCACAAACCGAGGAAAAAACGCTGGAGAGCCACAGAAATGCCCAGAATTTTCGTTAAAAATCCAACTTGGGAGCTTGGCTGGTGCTCCAAAACCTGGCAAAGCTCATCCTGCCAGGGATGAGCTGCTGGAGCAGGCACAGGGGAGGGAGAGGGGGGCATTCATCTCCTCATAAACCCAGCTCACGGACACTGGAATGCCATCCCAGAGGTGGAGAAGGGGCATTTGGCTCCAGGCTCTGATCTCTGCCAACCTGCAGCTCCTTTTCTTGCCAGCCTGTGGAGATCAGAGGCTCGGGGCTCACCTTGTTCAGCGGGGCACCAAATATTTACACACCCTCTCCCCTCCTCGGTGGGAGTCAAATACCCACTCAAGGAGTGGAACAAAAGGGGGTTATCTCAAATTTGGGCTGTTAGGGGCACTCAGGGCTGATAAATATCTCCTTTAGGAAGGATTTGTAGGAAAGGCAAAGGCTGAAAAAGAATAAACAGGAGCCACCAGGCCCTTTGTCTTTGCCCTCTGATCCTGGGAATGCCTCCTGCTCATTGCTAAGTCTTTCCCCCGGAGGTTTCTGTAGGTGACTTTGACCTTCAGCAGGAATATCTATCTTGAGGAGAGAGAGCTGAGACCACCCTGATCCGGTGTGTTCTGTCTCCCAGTGGGAATGTGGGATGGCTCAGCTGGGCATCCAGTGCCCCAGGAAGGTTTATGCCCCAAGAAAACTGCACAAGGGCTGGTTATACATGTCCTGAATGGGCTTCCCAAGGCTGGGTGAAGGGGATTCCTGCTTTTCCAGGCTCTGTTCCCCTGGGCACACCAGCACTGCTCCCCCCCAGGGACCTGAGCTGTCCTGCCTGCCGAGCTGCTCGTTCCTGATGGGAGCCCCGAGAAGGGCAAGTCTGCCCCACAGATCCCTGCCATGCCAAGAAAATTCCTTCTTGAAAGGAGGGAGGGCAGAGTGAGAGTCCAGACTGTCTCCAGCCAACCCCTCCCTCGGTGGAGCCCCCCGGGAGCAGCCCCAGCAGCAGCAGGAGCCGGGAGTGGGGACAGGAGAGCACGGCCCTGACACGGGGCTGAAATGCGTCACTGGGGCTGGTGGCTGCTCGTGCTCTTCCCTATCAAATGGAAGCAATTAACGAGCTATTCAGCCTGCTGGAAG